AAATAAAGATGAAAATGCAAATGATGTATCAAAGCAAATGAGAAATGATCAAGAAAAATCACACAAGTCAGAAACAATATGAGAATGCTATCTAATTTTTTTGAGAATTTTTTAATGCATAAAAATATTTTTAAACAATTAAATATGCTGGAAAAATGAAGAAAATGATACAAAAAATATCAAATGAAGAAATAAAAATATGCAAAAATGCTCATAAAATAGAGAAAAATTTTATGAAACTATGAAAATAAGAGTTATAAATGTTAATAGAACTATTTTTTATGATTTTTTGAAATCAACTGAAAAAAAGGAACATGAAAAAAATAAAATAAATGCTAGAAAGAATAAGAGCCATTGATTTGATCAGATGGCTGAGAGAAGAAACATGTTAAGCCACCAGATCTCATTAAATGAGATCAGAAGGTCGACATCATGAGAAACACGATGGACACTAAATAAAGGCACACACATGATCCAATTTAAAAACAAAACAAACTCAGGCATCAAAGATGCTTCTCCAACCGTCTTCTCCGGTGAGCCTCCACCATATAATCCATAAATGGTAAAGATAGATCATGAGACCTATACCATTAGAATTATCTCATTGAAACACATTCAACCATGGCCTGAAAACAAATTTATGATAATTGTATGAAGAGTATTTTGAAGAAGAATAAAAAGCAAAATGCAAAACGGATTTTTAAAAAACGAAAGGTAAATGCATCAATCAAATAAAATTAAGGATCCAGAAGCTATCATCACACCAAGGATTACATTGTGGTATCAAATTTGAAGCAAAAGGATGCTTCTAACTACCTGTTCAAAGATATGTGAAATGAGCAAATCTGAGAAAATCGTGTGAGCAATTTAGAGCACCTCAGACCTTGATTCTTAATCCCTCAGCTTCAGAGAAGAACGATGAAGAGATTGGATATGAGAGATTGAGTTGAAAAGGCCGTTAAGTATGAAAATGAAATCTTACGAATGGAGGATTCGGGTGTGATCTTGGCAGAGTGTTTTTGGCTCTCAAAAGATTGCCTCATGATTAGAATGTGTTTCTCTATTTATAGGGATTTTAATGTTGATCTAATACATGCGAAATGATGCTCACTTCATGTAATCCATATGCAACTAAATGTGAGAAATGTGTGACTTGGAAAGCATAAAAACTCCATCTAAACTTGCATTTTATGAGTCATTTTACTTCTGGGAACTTCACTAAACATGTTTAAAAGAATAACTTATGGTAATTTAGTTCATAATCAAGTTTTGGTTTATGCAAAATTTTGACCAAAAATGGAAATGCAGTTCCAAGTACCTCACTTCAAGTCACCATGAAATTTTGTACATATCACCTTTATGGCTCATTCCTTTTGCAATTAGCTCACATCATAAAAAAGAGTACAATGTGACAAGAAAATATTGATTTGGAAACCTAAGCAAAATTTTATGGCCATGCAAAGTTGGCACAAAAATCTGGCAAACCAATCTTGAAAAATTCTAAGTCTAAATGGCTGATAATGACCTATAATATATCAATGAATTCCATGGCCTTCCAAGCACAATTTGACTTTGGCATTTGAATCAATCTTGTAGAGAATATCACAAAGAGTATTGGGCACAAATAATGAGCTCTATATGTTAACAATTTAGGAAGTTGTGATCCTTGAAAGTTGAGAAAAAATCACTTGAAAATAGGCAAAATTTCACTAAGTTCACAAATGACCTATAATGTCTCCAAACTTTTACGGATCCTCCAAGCATAATTGGCTCTTATTATGTAAATAGAAGATGAATAGGATGTTGAGAAGAGTCATATGAAAAAAGAAGAATTCAAAAATATTGAGAATTGAAGGAGTTGTGCTCTTTGGAACTTTGACTTGAAAATGTTGACTTTTAGGTCAAACTTCCTTGAATCAACTTGTGATCTTGGGATTTTCTTGCATTTCAAAGCACATGGATCATGATATGAACTCAAAATAAGGTTCCCTTGAATGTCCCTTGATTATACTGACCTAATATTAAGGTAACCTATTGATGAAGGCATGGAAATAAATACACGAACCTTTGACTTTTCTTGAGAAACAAGCTACTAAACTTTGAGATATCTTTGATCAAAATGAGATCGAATAATGCTTGATATCAAACATTTCAAGATCAGAGGTCATGAATTGATAGGATTTCCCTTAGGGATCCCAGGTTGACCACATTTTACTTGAGGGAGCAAAACCCTAGTTGAGGAACTATGCTTGATGTTCTTGATACAAAACCTTACATTGCAAAGAAACAAAAAGTATACAAGACAGATTTTTGGGTCTTTTAATTAGTAGTTAGTGAAACATAAATTGCATAAACATAAAGGAAAGAGGTACACAAAGAGGTGTTAAACATTATAGGTGTTTGGTGATCTCTACAAAGCCAAACCTAAGGGTGAGGGGCTAGGGAAGAACCAAATTTGTGATCTTGATGCATTGTCTCTGAGGGTAGCAAGGATGCCTCATTAAGGATCTATCATTCATATCGCCTTTGAGGGCAAAAAGGATTTTTATTTGAGGATTCAACATTCATAATGCCTTTGAGCGTGACAAGAATTCCTCTTTCAGGATCAATCATTCATATTGCCTCTAAGGACGACAAGGTTTCGTCTTTGAGGATTAATCATTTATATTGTCTCTACAGGCGACATGGATTCCTATTTGAGGATACAACAATCATATTGCCTCTGAGGGTGACAAAGATTCTTCTTTGAGGATCTAACATTTATATTGCCTCTAAGGGCGACAAGGATTCCTCTTTGAGGATCCAACATAAATATTATCATTCTCATCATTCTTTTATTTTTAAGGTGAGACGCCCCCTTGGAGGACCTTCAATTTTGTGGAAAGATGCTACCCTATTTATGTTACTAAAGCAAGATATTTTAAGTGATTTTATGTATTGACAGTCCAAATGTCTCTCACCTTATTGAATAAGAAATAATGAATAATTAACTATAACAATATCTCATGTTTACTGAGTTTTATGTCCTGCGAACAAGTTTTCATCTAGCTCTTTGAGTTTGTAGGCGTCGTGAGATGATTTTTGGCATACGCGATATGAACCTTCCCAGTTAAGCTGCAGTTTCCTCTAGCAACTTGGTACAACCACCTTCTTGAGCACGGGGTCGCTCTCTTGGATTTTCTTTGGGACCACTTTAGATTTGTATCTTTAGGTAGCTCTCTGTTTGGTGGCGAATTCTCCATATGGGCGCATTTATTTTGATCAAAAGCATGGTGTCTGCGCCGTATATCATTGTGATTAGGGTTTCTTTAATGGTTGAATAGGAGTTGTATGATACGACCACAATACTTCACGGAGTTGTTTGGCCCCCAACCCCTTGGCGTCCTCCAATTTTTTCTTTATTCCACCCAATGTCACCCTTTTCGGTGACTTATCCTACCCAATCGCCTTTGGGTTAATAACCGAGATAGACTTCGTTTGTATCCCTAGGTCTTGGTAGAAATTGAGCAAGGGTGAGGGGGAGAATTGCGTGCTATTAGCTAAGATGATGATTCTTGAAAAACCAATCATGCATTTGATTTGCTGCCATTAGAAATGTCGAAGTCTTTCTGTCGTGATCTTGGAGACGACCTCTGCCTCTATTCACTTCGTGAAATAGTCTACTCCAACAATTAAAAACCTAAGTTGTCCATACACCAGCAGGAAAGGACCTGGTATGCCTATTCCCCATTGGTAAAACGAATGTGGTGACATGACAGAGTGAAGAATTTATGGTGGTGCGTGATGTAGTTTAAAATGTTTCTTACACTTCTCACATCTTCTAAAGAATTCTGCATTATCCTTCATCAGAGTGGGCCAATAATAAACCACCATAAACAATTTTAAGACCTTGTCCACCAATATGACTATCGCGCTTTCCTTAGCCAATAATAACCCGCCCTGAACAGTTTGTGATCGAAACCATTAAATTTGATTTTGAAAAAGAAAGAAAAATGTAATGGGTGAAAATTGCTTCTTGAAGGATTATGCATCACCCGACATTACAATCTCTTTAAAAAAAAATAGTATAAACATGCATTCAGGTATAAATCAAGTTTCTATTAAAGCAAATAATTTTTAAACATTAAAATCTTTTTTATTTATATGAGTTAATATAATAGTATTTAATTTATAAAAAAAACTATTACAATTTTATTTTTCAAGATTTATAAAATAAAAATTTATTTAATGTAATACATATTTATGAATGTTTTTATTTTTTTAATACAAATCCGACAGTATGATATGTGTCAGCTAGTTATCTATCGGTCTAACAAATAATTTGATAAATTAGCGTCTTAATTAGACATAACAAAAAAATTTGCTCGGCCTAACTTGACTGTCCCCACCCCAAATTTAACGAGAAAAAACATATTTAAATGAGAATTAAGACGAGTGCAGAAAAAACTTAATTTTCAATTATGAAAGTGTGGAATGCTCGTAAAGTTTAAATCCACCCCTCCTTATTGTCATACCTAGTTTTAATCGGATTGATCATCGATCCTACTTTAAACTATAGACCCATTGTAAAAACTATTGTTGTCTTCATATCATGCAAAATTATGACTATCACAATTTGTTATCGGTAAAAATGATTTTGTAAAATTAAATATTACATTATCTATTTCAAAAACATAATTTTAAACAAGGAAATCATTATGATTATAATATTAAAACAACAAAACTTAATCTCTAACACCAAATCACATCTATTTACACATATATGTTTAATAGTAAAATCTAAAGGTTTTTAAAGCTAAACTAGCCAAACAAAAACTCATATTAGATCTTAATTATATTTATCTAAAATTAATTGATTGGCACCACATGAAAATTGTACATATTAGGCCAAACAACTTGTTAGACATATGCCAAAATTCTTTACAAATTCAATAATGACCATCTGAATGTAAAGGTGCATATGTACTATTAGTACTAAGCTAGCAATTAATCTATAATGATCAAGTAGGAAAAAGTAAGCATGATGATTCTACATGTATCCTTTTGTTTACAAAATTGATATTGTTTAATTTACTACGACACCATCCTAGTTGATCTGTCGTTATCCTTGACATATTCAACACTCTCCAAACCAATTTCATATCTACTTGAGAGAAAAAATAAAGAACTGGATCTGTTTCATCTTCATTATGCTTTTTGAACTTCTTCAATATGCAACTTCCACTCCTCAAAATCTCTCTTAGTCTCTTTTCTTTCTGCAAATCATAAACAAAAACACTTTATGCATAAGAAAAAACTAAAACATATATTGGTTTGAACAACCTCAAGCCGAACTCACTGCAGCTACGAGGTATTGTCTCCTTTGGATGTCAGAACGTTGCTGACTTTATCCTTTAGAAAAAACCCTTAGCCTAGATTCCCAATTAATGTGGGACTATTTTGGCGAGTCCGAAACATCTACCCTCACTCGAGACTAAGGGGCAGGGTGCAAGCAAGAGGACCCAACCCTTCCTTCTAGTGTCAATATTTTGATCGACCTCAAGTCAGCGCCAGGGTGCGAACATGTGGGCCCGACCCCTCCTTCTAGCGCAAATATTCCAATCAACCTCAAGTATGCGGCTTTGCGACTATGAGGTATTGTCCCCTGAGAACCCCTACGACTTTGTCCTTTAAAAAAGGTGTCTCGTTGAGTTGAAAAATGTGAGTGTTTGTATATAAACTATCATTAGCCTCGACTCTCAAACACGTGGGACAATTTTGGCCAGCCTAGAACATATATTAACTTGTAAGACAATTCTAATCTGAAACATCAATTACCTTTTGAAGATCTGTTAGAATCTCCACTAGAAGCTGTGAATCAGCAGGATCTTGAAGCTCAACATGATGTTCTTTAAGACTTTTAATTGTCAAGTTTGATGCATCTTTATCACCTCTAATAAAACGCCAAATTGTTCTTATTGATTCTTCTAAAATCTCTACTAACATGTCACTTGTAATGGCATCATTGTCAACTTCTCTTTTTCTTAACTTCTTTCTATCCTTTCCTTTGTCTTCTGCAAACAATAATTGAAGAATTTGTAACTCATGATGAACTACTTTAGTTAAAAAAGTACTAAATTGTCTGATCATGATCCAACGACCACCAACACCCTTGAGTGCATGAATGTGTGGATTGTTGACTGCGATAAATTCAAATCCATCAAATTCACGTAGCTTCGAAAGTTCTCACCTCGTATAACAGGAACTTGAAGAAGATTCTTCATGGCACAACGATTCCTAGCATAATTTTCCACTCTTGGACATTGAAAAGGTTCGTTCTCTATAAATCTTTGAAGAAGAACTTGAAATTGTTGAAACTCTCCGGCTACTTCATTGAACCTTCTGAATCCATATTGATCATTTTCCCATATCTTCAAAGCCTTTTCATATTCCCAATGAAGGAATTCCCAAGAAAGACATAAATGTCCCACATAAACCATTTCCAAATCACTGTATAATTCTCTTATGAACTTCTTCATCGGGTCAGCATCAATTTCTTTGGTACGTCTAAATAAGCTTGTGATTGTTGATGAAGATTTCTTGTGAATTGAAAATGATTGTAGTGGGTCCTTTAACTTCATAAGACCTACAAAATTTACAAAAAAAATTAAAAAATATGAATATTAAAATAAAGATAATAACACACTTGTGAGTTAAACTCATATGAATCCCGCCAAATTTATGTAGAACCCAACTGATTTGCTAGGGTTTATGTGAAATTTTAACCGATAAGCAAGTGTTAAAGAGTGTGTACATCTCTAAGAACAACGTGTTAGTGTCCGTGTCAATATCTGACACCGACACCCACACTTATGATTATACTTAATTTTTATTTTTTAAAATTATTATTGATGTTGAAGTGTCAGTGTCGTATCCGATATCCATGTCTCTTGTCTTTGCTTGCTTCATAGTGACTAATAAAAGTTTAACAAAACTTTCTAGGAGAAAGAAAAATAGCTTTCCAAACTTGTCTTGCATAACAAGGGTTGTTTGTAGGTAGAAAGAAAAAAAAAGTCTCATAGAAAAGTTGGGTGGAGCATTATAATCAGTGCTACATCACAATGAGAAAGTGTGGTAGCTTTTTGCAATTAAATATTTGTTTATTAGTTCACGTTGAAAGTTAGTGTGCACATGTTTGAAATAATAATAAAATTTCTTTGGACTTAAATATCATTAATTTATCACCTAATCCTTGTCATGAATTGAATTTTATTACAAAGTTATGAGTTTCCTCCCAATTTAAGGGTATAGCCGTCGTCAAATATAAGACACTTTTGACAATTTTTTATTGTTTATTCTTATAGAACACTTTTTCATATTTTCTTAAAAAAATTCGGTATCTGACCTTAATTCGACTAATTTTGAGAGACTAATTCTACCGTCTATTTGTTGGGGCATTTAAAGGCGGAGGAAAAATCTGTATGGATTGACCCAACATAAAAATTGTTAACATTTAGTCAATTTCAAATATGAGATTTTTTTGAGAAGAGCACAATTTTTCACATTTTCAATTGTATCAGTTACTCTTTTTATAACTGAGGTACTAATTAGTTATTTGAATTTTTAAACATCAATGGTTGTGTTTTGATATAAAAGCAAAAGGCTAAAAATCAATAAATATGCAACCAAAAGAGTTACTACTACTTAATAGAGTTAACAAACAAGAAAACAGCCACAAGTCTTAACACTCATATAGCTACCACAAGCAATGGAGGATTGACATTAATGAGTGCAAAGTATAGAGCCAAGCATGTGACATAAAAAGGTGCTCAATTCTTTAAAGTCCAACTCCCAATCCTACCACTCTTTCTTGCATTAACAAAGTATATAAGAAAATGAACTATATAAAAATATTTTGAAACCAACCATAAAAAGAGTAAGAAGAAAGTGTGTCAAAATTCACTTTTGTGCCACATATTTAGTTAATTCATGCTTTTACAATGCTCAACTAACCAGATTTAGTAGGGTCCTTACCTCTCACTACTTTTTAATGATTTAGATAAGTAGGTTTTGATGATCAAGGGTGTTCAATGAAATTGTTTTAAACAAGAAAGTAAACAATTAAAATGTATGAACCACCAGACACGAATCAGACACATCGACATCGTTAATTAGTTTTAAAAATGATAAATTGAATATAATAAAAAATGTCGGTGTCAGTGTCCGAGACTCACATGGATATACCTTTTTCTAGAGGTGTCGGTGCTACATAGATTAAAACCACCAATGTTTTAAAAATTTAACCGAAGGTCGCAATTCAAATTGTTTGAACGTCGAACAACTCAAATTACCGAAACATAGAAAGTGTCATGATTCAACTGGTTGAACCGTCCGACTCATTCCGTTTCGGTTGTTAAAACATTGAGTAAAACTAAAATCAAAATTGCTAAAGAAAGGTAAATAAACTTAAGGTAATGAGAAGAAGGAGGAGAAAAAACATACCTAAAGCATACATTTTCTGGTAATTCAAGATATCGAATTTTCTCATTCTTTCTCTGTAACTTCTGTAGAATTTCGGAAGCTCATTTGTAGTACTACTACCATGCTGAAATTTTTCATCAATTTTCCATGGCTTCAAATCTTCCATAATCCTCGGTGACTCGGAATCCTCAAAGATTGTAGGTAAACCAGTAGCTTTAACTTTCTTCAATTCCATCTTCAGCTGTTCTATCAGATCCTGATGCTCCCAAAGCGTGTCGAACCGGTTCGATTCCTCGAGATCAAAAGCTGCTACACTCTTCGAATTTGGTTTCGCCGATTGTTCTTGTTTGATTTCTTCCTCCAATTTTCCAAGCTCGTTCATTATATCTTCGTCTTCTTCGGCAAAATCATCGGGTTCGTAACCAAAATCCAAACTTTCTAGGCTTTTGTCATCCTTAAAGTCCAAATCGTCTACACTTTCTTCATTGTTTCCTAATGTATCATGCTCGGTAGTTGTTCCGAAATCCGTGTCTGACAAAAAACCAGATTCCAAAGAACTTGTAGAATCTGTGTCAGAACTTGAACAAATGAAATCGTCGTCTAATAGAAAATTCCGCTCATATGGTTCCGAATTCTTGAGCTTCTCTGACACTTCCTCTACGTGCAATTTTTCTGAGAAACTATCAAGAATTTTCTCATTAACAACCTCTTCATAATTTTCTTCATTCAATTTTCTCTCAGATGATAAACCAGCTGGCTCGAGCTTCTCTGAAACTTCCTCTACGCGCAATTTTTCGGAGAAACTATCAAGAATTTTTCCATTACCAACCTCTTCACAATTTTCTTCATTCAATTTCCTCTCAGATGATAAACCAGCTGGCTCGACCTTCTCCAACACTTCTTCTATGCACAATCTTTCGGAGAAACCATCAAGAATTTTCTCATTAACAACCTCTTCACAATTTTCTTGATTCAACTTCCTTTCAGGTAACAAACTGGCCGAATCATCGGCGACATAATTTTTTTCCAACGGAAAATCATCATTTGAACGAATAAAAAACTCTTTGACAGTAAAATTTGCAGCTTCAGGTTGGTCCAAAATTCGGCTAAAACTCTTTTGCGAGACGAACTCATATTTGTTTGTAGTCGAAGAAACCTCACCCCTTGTATCAAAATCATTACTTTCACTAAAATCTCCCTTCAATTCCTCACTAAACTTGCAATCCCAATTTTGATATTGAAACTTAAAAACCAACTTTGATTTCTCCTCTTCTTCTAGGTCAAAACTCTCACCATGATCATCATCAACATTCATCAAACTAAATTTCCTATTTTTCTCACCTTCTACATGGTTACAACTAGACTCAATTTCATCACTTTCATTCGAAAGAGTATCAGAAAGCGCCTCAAAAAACTCATCATAATAATATTCTCCATTAGCCTCAACCGACTCAATTCGACGATTATCATCGAAAAACTCACAACCATAACCCATTGCTTCAGAACTACTGAATCTGAAAAGTGAAAACACAAACAAAATCATAAATAAATCAAATAAACCACTAATGAGCATTGAATATTTAACCATATAACTAAAATTTCCAATGAAAAACTCAATTCCATTACCTAATGAAGCCTTATGAGAAACCCCAAAACAGAGTTTACATAAAAATCCAATCTTTATACGAAAAAAACCTCATACACGCCTAAACACAAACAGGTAATCTACACAACTCAAATGGGTTATCTAAAAACTCAGTTTATGAATGAACCAACAAACAAGTTCATTCCTTATGAAGCAAAACAGAGGAAACAAAAACAGAGCAAAGTCACAAAAATTTTGATTTCTAGTTTGAAAAATTTGATTGAAAAAAACACAACGAATAAGACATTGCAACAACATAGAAAAAGATATACTACAAACTCACCTTGTTTCATATGGTGAATCTGATTCAGCAAGAAGTTGAAGGGTCACCTAATTAGAGAATTTTTGAGAGAGAATGAATTATGAGAAGAAAAGAACATGTGAGCGACTTGTGTTGTGTGATGGATTCATTGAAGAGTGTTGTTGTTTTGGTGAATGTGATTTGGTTCAAGAAAGAGATAATAGAAACAAATTTGGGTGAAATTGAAAGATCAAATTTTTGTATAAAAAAAGAAAAATCAAATTACGCGTATTGGTTTTTGGTAAGTAATGTTTTTTGGTCATAGTTTTAGTTTTAAATGAACTTGTTGAGAGAATAACAATAAAAATTATGTTGGAAAAACAATTTTTTAGATTTAAAATAAAGAGTAGATGATTTTTAAAAGAATGTTATTAGTATTATATATTTGGTGGTTCATAATATTAATGTTATGTTTAATTATATAACAAGTGTATTTAGAGTATTTGATATTTTTTAATGTAATATTAGTTATTTATTTTAAATTTCTTCTAATTAATACTATTAAAATTATGTAAAATAAGATTTTAAAGGACTTTAAAATACTTTTATATAAGAAATTATTTTTTGGTATTTAATAAATTTTTATAAAATATAAATAAATTTTTGGTATTTAATAATTTTTTTATGAAATATAAATAAATTTTGTGGTATTTAACTTTTTTTTATAAAATATAGATAAATTTTGTGATACCTAATTATGATAGTCTAATACTACTTCAATATTAGTGTGGCAAAACAAGTCGGGTTTAACGGATCGTTTGACCCGTCAATTTTGGATGGGCTAAGTCGAGATTTTTGACTTAGTGTTTTAAGTTGGTCTGATCAACTCAACCTGTTTAAAAATGGGGTGGGGGTAGGACAGATTTTTCTCGTGGACTTTCTGTTAATTTTTTATAGCTTAGAATGAAAATTGGGTAGTGTATTAAAGAGTCCAATCCACTATTTTTTTATATAAGTAAAAGACTTAATTTTCTGTTTTCTTATATAATTATAATCTTATTACATTCTTAAATTATGTTTCTTTCCATTTGTTTCAATGGTCATTGTGCCTATCCCTCTATTCCAGCGCTTTTTATTTGATCTTCCAAGTCATTTACTTATGTTTTTTTCTTCTTCTTCTCTAGAGACACACATTTAAGGCAAGCTTCAACCTAATCTTCATATTTTATATATTAGACCTTTGAAATGTCTCCATCTTTAGTTGTTAATGTTTAGATATTAGATTGATTATTGATCTTAGTATGCTTAACTCTTTTCAAATAGATTGATTATTGGCAAAAATAGTGTGTTCCGAAACATTAACAACATTAACATAGCCCTTGTAAATAAAATTTATTTGTGTGCAAAACATTATTTAGGTCATGAACCTACCTTCATAGTACATCATCAAATTCTCTAACTTCTCTTGAAAGTTAGGTCACCCATTTTCTAAATGCATGCATCATAAGGTGACTGTGACGGGCCTCGCCAACATTCACCAAAGTCACTCAGAGATCTTCAAATACTACCTTATATGATTTATTAAAGCCAATATAAGGGTCGGTAACCCAAATTAGAAAATATCCTTAAAAGTATTCTACAACGAGTTGAAGACTAAACACTAGGCATGGCATCAAAACTCCTACCCACGAGTACCTTCCCAAACTTATCCCGAGTTTGACGGGGGAATCTTCTTTAACTAGGTTCAGATTTGGGTTCGGGGTTTCTCCAATTTCAAAAGATGGGAACATGACGAGTAATGGAAAAACTAATAACTAACTCGAACCCAACTATAAACGCTCCTCGTTTATTTTAAGATTACATAAATAATTATATTTAATTAGAAACCCTTAAATCATATTTTTCACACTCTCACTTCTCACTATTTGATTTTGATAATGTGAAAATTTTGGTTTTGATGATTTAGATAATAGTTGTATGGTTAATGTATTGATATTTTGGTTTATACCTTATTATTTAAAATATATATTGGGAATTTGTAGGATTGTTTTACTTTATTATTAGGAACGCGTGTTAATGTTTGTTAGGGTTTAATACATGTTTTGGGTTTTGGGTGGATTATGGGTTCAAGGCGGGTTATGGTTTATGAAAAAAGATCATTTCATTAAATAATGATTACATAATGGGATAGGGACAAAAGTGGGGTACCAAAACTTGTTTGGTACGAGTTTCAAATTCAATTACTCGTTCACGTTGAGGATCACCGTGGTGGACAAGTATATATCAAGAAGTCGGATTTATGGATGTGGAAGGTAAAACCTGTCCTCGCCCCCATTGTCATGCCTATTGGGCACTTCAATGAATCTTTGACACAAAATCCAGTCATTGGAATGAATGAGGTTATAAAGCATGTTCAATGTTATACATAAAAGGATAAATAAAAGTAATTTTGAGAAAAGAAGTAGAGATGCAAAATATAGGGCTCTTGGTTGAAATAGCTCACATACACAATATGATAATCAATAGAGAAGCAAACCAAACTATCAATATAATGATATACGACAACACGACATTTCAACAACTTGGTTTAACGTCAAAATAAGCCAATTATTGAAAAAGATCATGTACGCGTGACTGTTGGATGAGTCACCCAAACTGAAGGGTTGTATTGGTTTTGGCAAGAGTCTATAAAGCTTTACCGTGATGCGAAAGGACACAGTGTTGATAATTGCTTTCAACTGAAGACAAAAACCAGAAGAATGGTATAGTATGGATATTTGAATAAGTACATATAATGTTCCCTACAATATACGATACTAATAAAGGACAAAGATAAGTTTATCAAGCTGAGATCCCTCATATTCCTCGTGAGAGAAAATAAAGACCAACACGACAAAAAAAAGAAGACTATTAACCCAGGTACAATCTCAACACCATCAACGACAAATTCTCTAATGGTATGTTTGGATTGGTGGTATGGGATGGGATGGGATGGAGTGGAGTGATAACTAATGTGATTCCTTATTTGAATTTACAAATAATGGATGGAACATAATGGAATCCATTCCATCCCATTCCCCATTTTCTGTTCCATTAAATTTTGGGTGTATGTGATGAAATGAAATATTTTTAACAAAATAACCAAACAATGGAGTATGATATATATTCCATTCCACTCATTTCCATTCTGCTCCGCTATGTTCTGCTCCAGTCCACTCTATTATGTTCTATCAATCCAAACATAGCCTAGAGGAAATGATTCAAGTTCATCTAGAAACAGATATATGAGGCCACAGACCAACTTCTCGAAGTATTTTGGAGAAGCAATAATCCCATAGTTCCCAAACATCAATTTTTGACAAAAAGATCAGGAAGTACTTATCCCTCATGAAAACGCCTCAATGGTGGTTGAAGTCCATATCTTTATATTGGACGTGAATAAAGTCTTCATTGAGCTTGGAAGTTCAGTCGATATTTTATTAAGGGATGCTTTTATAGACTTTTAACTCATCCCTGTAGAGGTACGATATGTACAAAGCAATCATGGTTGTGTTCTTGGGTGAATAAGTGAACATGAGTGGCCATATCACCCTAAATACCACATTTAGGCACATAATAAATGATAAGATAGTGAAAGAGCGTTATCAAATAATGAATGCTTTCTTATCATCTTACAATATCATTATTAGTTGTCCATCTTTCAATTCATTGTGGGAATCATTGTCCACCTCGTACGTAATATTGAAGTATCCCTTAAGCAATGAGGATGTCAACGTAGTAATAAGCGATCAAGAGGTATCTAAATGGTGTTCCCAGTACAGTTTGAAGCTTAAATCATCAAAGACCAAATACATCCCATACGATTCTGATCAACCTCATGGATGTTAACTTATCACAAAATATGGTCAACATGAACCCCTCTAAGAATACTTCAAAGAAACAAAGGTGTCCCCATACTTAACAATTGAAAATGGTTCATCTCATGGAGCATCCCCATCAAGTAACCAACCTAGGGACTTCTTTGGGGAGGAACATAAAAGATTCTCCATATCATTACTAAGGAAAAACATTGACCTATTTTATTAGAAACCATCTGACATACTTGACAACGAAGAAAGTGTTGTAAGCCATAAGTTAGCCTCAATACCGACCATCAAACCAATATCACACAGAAAGCATTATATGAGTGAAGAGAGAAAAAACAATAAAAGAGAATGTGTGCAATTTAAAGAAAATAAACTTAATCAGAGAGATAAATTACTCATCTTGGCTAAGAACTCTAGTCATGGTAAAGAAAACAAACACAAAGTGAAGGATGTTTGTATACTCCACTTACCTAAACTTTGATAGATGGGTAGATATAGTATCAAATTATAAAAAATTTAGTTTTATAAACGTCTACTTTAGATATAACTGGACAAAGCCGTCTCAAACTTTTGAGAGGCCCTGTGTAAAGATTTAAAGTTAACTTCATTTGAGCCGTAAGTTATTTTTAAGAGTCTTTATTTAACTGTGAATAATGTGTATGGAGGATTTTTTTGTCATAGTTTATTCATGAAAAAATTTGAGGCCACGTGCTATAGGTCGCCTTGCACGTCCTAAAAGATGA